TGATATTGGTTTGTGGTTTTCCTTCTTGAGGCGTCTTTGTCTGGCTTTGGTATCAGGGTAATGCTGGCCTGATAAAATGGGTTAGAAAGCTTCTCTCCTTTTCTCTTTTTGGAAGAGTTTGAGAGGATTGGTATCAATTCATTTTAAAATGTTTGGTAAAATTCACCGTGAAGCCATCTGGCCTGGACTTCTCTTTGTTAGGAGGGTTTTGATTACTGGTTCAATGTCTTTACTTGTTATGGGTCTGTTCAGACTTTCTATTTCTTCTTGAGTCGATTAGGTAATTTGTGTCTAGAAATTTGTCTATCTCATTTAGGTTGGCATAAGATTGTTCACTGTATTCTCTTTATAATCCATTTTATTTCTTTTTTATTGTGAAAAGAACACTTAACATGAGATCTACCTGCTTGACAAGTCTTTTTTTAAATATATTTGTATTGATTTCAGAGAGGAAGGGAGAGGGAGAGAAAGAAACATCAATGATGAGAGAGAACCATTCATTGGCTGCCTCCTGCACACCCCCTGCTGGGGACCGAGCCCACAACCCGGGCATGTGCCCTTGACTGGAATCGAACCTGGGACCCTTCAGTCTACAGGCTGATGCTCTTTCCACTGAGCCAAACCAGCTAGGGCCAACTCTTTAAATGTACAGTATGTTATTGTTGACTATACATACAGTGTTGTACAGCAGATCTCAAGAGCTTATTCATTGTGCTTGGCTTTATGCCCATTGATTAGTAACTTCCTGTTTTCTCCCCATTCCACTTTACTTCCTGGCAACGCCCATTCCACTTTAAAAAATATATATATTTTTTTATTGATTTTAGAGAGGAAGGTAGAGGGATAGAGATAGAAACATCAATGATGAGAGAGAATCATTGATCGGCTGCCTCCCCCACACCCCCTACTGGGGATCGAGCCCACAACCCAGGCACGCGTCCTTGGCCGGAATCGAACCTGGGAGCCTTCAGTCCTCAGGCTGGCGCTCTATCCACTGAGCCAAACCGGCTAGGGCACATTCCACTTTTTGATTCTATGAATTTGACTGTTCTAGATACCTCATATAAGTGGGTCATACAGTATTTTCTTGATTGGCTTATTTTATTTAGCATAATGTCCTCAAGGTTCATCCATGTTATTGCATATTGCAGAATTTCCTTCTTTTTAAAGGCTGAATAGTATTCCATTATATGTATAGGCCACACTTTCTTGATCATTTCATCTGCAATGGATGTTTAGATTGCTTTCACATCTTAGCTATCTTGAACAGCACTATAGTGAAAATGGGAGTGCTAGCTCTTTGAGATCCTAATTTCAATTCTTTTGGATAAATACCCAGTAGAACTACTACATTATAATGTAGTTCTACATTTAATTTTTCGGAGAAACCTCCATACTGTTTTCTACAGTGACTGCACCATTTTGCATTTCCACCAACAGCGTGCAAGGGTTCCAATTTCTACACATCTTCACTAATACTTGCTGTCTTTTGGTTTTGTGGTATGTGGGGTTTTTATAACTGCCATCCTGACAGGTGTGAGATGATATTTCATATACCTGTTGGTCATTTGTATGTCTCCTTGGAAAAGGTGTTTACTCAAGTTCTTTTTTTAAAAAATATATTTTATTGATTTTTTACAGAGAGGAAGGGAGAGGGATAGAGAGTTAGAAAAATTGATGAGAGAGAACCATCAATCATCTGCCTCTTGCACACCCCCTACTGGGGATGTGCCCGCAACCAAGGTACATGCCCTTGACCAGAATCGAACCTGGGACCCTTCAGTCCGCAGACCAACACTCTATCTACTGAGCCAAACCGGTTAGGGCTATTCAAGTTCTTAACCCATTTAAAAAAATCTGGTTATTAGCTCTAGCCGGTTTGGTTCAGTGGTTAGAATGTTAGCCCTCAGACTAAAGGGTGGTGGGTTCAATTCTGATCAAGGGCACGTACCTCGGTTGCAGGCTCCATGCCGGCCCCCAGTTGGGGCACTTGCAGGAGGCAACCAGTCGAAGTGTCTCTCTTATGTCGATGTTTCTCTCCCCCAGCCACCTTTCACTCTCACTAAAAAAAATAAATGGGAAAAATATCCACAAGTGAGGATTATTTTTAAAAATATGGTTATTAGGTTTTTGATGTGTGTGTGTGTGTGTGTGTGTGTGTGTGTGTGTGTGTGTGTGTGTGTTTTACCGTTGAGTTGTAGGAGCTTCTTATATATTTTGGGGATTAATCCCTAATCAGATATGTAGTTTGAAAATATTTTCTTCCATTTCATAGGTTGCCTTTTCACTCTACTGATTGTTTCTCTCGCTGTGCCAAAGCTTTTTAGTTTGATATAATCCTACTTGTTTGTTTTTGTTAACTGCGCTCTTGGCGCCATATTCATGAGGTCATGGTCCAGACCAGTGTCCCAAAGCTTCAAAAGTCTTATAGTTTCAGGTCTCTTGTTTAAGTCTTTAACCCATTTTTAGTTGATTTAAAAATATATATATATATTTTTTTATTATTGATTTCAGAGAGGAAAGGAGATGGAGAGAGAGATAGAAACTCAATGATGAGAGAGAATCATTGACTGGTTGCCTCTTGCACGCCCCACACTGGGGATCGAGCCCACAACCTGGGAATGTGCCCTGACCAGGAATTGAACTGTGACCTCCTGGTTCATAGGTTGAGGCTCAACCACTGAGCCACGCTGACCGGGCCAATTTAAATTTCTTTTTCTATGTGGATATCCAGTTTACCCAACACAATTTGTTGAAGAGACTATCCTTGCCCCAGTGTGTATTCTTGGCACCCTGGATGAAGATCAGTTGATCATACAAGTGCGGATTTCTTTGTGAGCTCTCTATTCCATTGGTCTATATGTGGGCCTTTATGGCCAGTGCCATAATGTTTTGATTACTATGGTTATCTATAATAATAAAAGCATAATATGCAAATCGACTGAATGCCCGAACAGCTGAACGACCATCCGGATGGCCATTCAGACGACCACACTATGACACCCACTGGCGCCAGGCCAGTCAAGGTGGGTGCGATGCGATTGGTCAGGGGCCCGGCCATCACCCAATGATTGCCCTGCAGATGGAGGCCCAGGCCACTGGCCGACGGGGTGATCAATCGGGGGGCTCCATGATCACCCCAAAGAGGGAGGCCCAATGCTGTGGCGGGTGGGCGGGGCCTCCCTCTGCAGGGGCAATCCATCACGGAGCCCCAGCTGGGTGGGCGGGGCCTACCGCTTTGGGGCGATCGATCGTGGGGCTCCCGGACTGTGAGAGGGCACAGGCTGAGCTGAGGGACGCCCCCCCACACCAGTGCACAAATTTCGTGCACCGGGCCTCTAGTGTAATATATTTTGAAATCAGAAAGTGTTATACCTCCAGTTTTGTTCTTCTTTTTCAAGAGTGATTTGTCTATTCACACATGGTCTTTTGTGGTTCCATATTTAACTTCAGTATTGTTTTTCTATCTCTGTAAAAAATGACATTGGGATTTTGATAGGGATTGCATTGAATCTCTAGATTGCTTTTGGAAGTATGGACATTTTAACAATATTAAATCTTCTAATCCATGAACAAGGGGTGTCTTTCCATTTGTGTCTTGTTTAATTTTCTTCATTGATGTTTTGTAGTTTTCAGTGTTCAATTCTTTCACCACCTTAGTTAATTTATTCCTAAGTATTTTATTCTTTTTGGTACTATTGTAAATTGGATGTTTTCCTGATTTCCTTTTCAGATAGTTTGTTGTTAGTGAATAGAAACATACTGGTTCTTTGTATGTTAATTTTGTATCCTGCAACTTCACTGAATTTGTTTATGAGTTCTGTGTGTTTGTTGTTGTTGTTGTTGTTGTTGTTGTTTAATGGAGTCTATATAGAAGATCTTGTCACCTATAAACAGACACAACTTTACTCCTCCCTTTCCCACTTGGATACCTCTCCTTTCCCATTTTGATACCTTTTCCATTTGGATATCTTGCCTAATTGCTCTGGCTAGGACTCCCATACTATGTTGAACAGAAGTTGGGAGGGTGGGCATCCTTGCCTTATTCTTGATCTTGGAGGAAGAGTTTTCAGTTTCTCATCATTGAGTATGACATTAGCTGTGGCCTTGTCATATAGGGTCTTTATTATGTTTAGACAGTTTCCTCCTGCTCCTAGTTTGTTGAGAGTTTTGTCACGAAGGCGTGTTAAATCCTTTGAAGTGCTCTTTCTGCATTCTGTGTCCTAGTTACAGTACCTCTCTGGGACACTATATTCCTTCCTGAATCCCCAGACCCAGGCAGAGGGCCTGTCACCAGTGAGAACAGCAGACCCTCCAATAACATAGACTTGTTCGATGTGGTTTTGTTATAACATGGATGTGAAGAAAAGAAAAGAAAAAGAAAACACTTTGCAGCCAGGGCCACTGTCTGTGTGGAGTTTGCACCATCTCCCCATGTCTGCAGGGCTTTTCTCTGGGGCCTCCAGTTTCCTCCCACATCCCAAACATGTGCACGTGAGGTGAGTTGTGAGTCTACCTTGTCCCCGTCTGAGTGAGTGTGGGGTGTGTGTGTGTATGTGTGTGTGTGTGTGTGTGTGTGTGTGAGTGAGATGAAACCACTTCCTGGCATCCTGTCCAGGTGGGTCCTACCTTTCGCCCTGAGCTGCGGGGAGAGGCTTCAGCCACCCAGCCCTGAACTGGGATGAGCAGGTTGGAAAATACGATCCTATCTGTTTTTTTTTTTAGTCTTTCTTACATGTACATGGAGTTCACATTTTTTCCAATGTTTACTATAAGTGTTTGGGGTGTTTATTAGAATTTTGGTGATTTTTTGTGACCAGAAATATGCTGTAGAAACTTAACTCTTGTGCATACCATGTAGCCTATGGTCAAATTGGTTTCCTCATATGAGGTTCCCCTTAAAGTCAGTCCAAGAACCTATAGGGAGCCTTAAGTGAGGACTTAGTGTGTTCTAGAAATAGTTACCGAGTGAATGCGGGAAGGAGGGGGAGGGTGGAAAGCGCAGGAGGAAACTGCCAGGAGGAAGGGAGGAGACTCCGCTCTGAACTTTCTAGAAAGGGGCTCTAGGATCCAGGGCACCTGAGCCGTGGGCTCAGACTTGAAAAGCTCCCGGGCTGGTCAGACTTCACTGTCCACGTGCCAGCCCTGGGGCGGTGGCCTCTGGAGGGCGCAGGACCGAATGGTTCAGGCACAACCCCAACCCCAACGACAGGCAGTCCTGCGGCGGGAAGAGGGAGCGGGAGCGCAGAGCAGGAGCGCAGAGCGCGGAGCCCTGGAGGGAAGCGGGCACAGGGACTCGGGACTCCCCTGTGGCCTCACGTCCACAGACTTCTCCGCGGGCACAGGCAGCCTCTGCTTGGCGGGAGCGGGCCTCCTGGACTGTGCACCTGGCAGAGTGGACGCCTTCGGGAGGGACAAGGGTGAGTCTGGTGTGGTCTCTGGGCGCGGTCCGCCTTGCGGGGCCAGGGGGCTGCGGTGGGGTCCCTGGGCCGGGAGGGGAGATGGGGGAGTAACGGAGGGTGGGGTGGCCCACTGTTCGATTTCCCCGGAACTCAGGGCCCGGTTAGTTTCATTTCCTGCGCTCTGATGGTATAGCTGCCCGCGCGCGGGTCTCTGACTGACTCACTGCCTTCTGCCAAAGAAGAGGTGGAATGGGTGGGGGTCGGAGGGGCCTGGGAACCCGCTCAGAGGAGCCGTCCAAGAAGCCCTGGACAGAGGAACTCCAGGCTGTCTGTGGGTAAATTGCCTAAGAAGCCTACTGAGTGATAATGCCCTCATCAGGAAAGGATGTCTGATACCTCTTTTTTATTTTTATTTTATTTTATTATTTTATTTATTTTGAGGAGAAAAGGAAATGCCATTAGATTACTTATGGATTTATATTGTTATACCACTTAAAGATTTTTTCACTTTTAAAAATAGTAAATTTTCCCTCTCCTTGTTAGCAGCTTTCCATATTACAAATAGCACTGCAATGAACATCTTAGTATATATCTTTCTATACACATACAAGCTTTTCTACAGCATAAGTTCCTAGAAATTCACATTGTTGAGTCAAAAATATGTATATACTTCTATTCCCTCTTATCCTTTTGATATCTTTATCAATGGTTAATAAGCCCTAAGCAGTTTCAGTTATTGCAGTTTTTAATAGATTTGCATCTTATAGGTAAGTCCTCTTATTTATTTGTTTTTAAAAATCTGGTTATTCCTACCAATTTCCTCTTTGAAATTAACTTTAGGATCATTTTGTTTCAATACCAAACTATACCATTGGGAGTTTTATTGGAATTGCTTTAAATTGGGTTTAAATTGGGGAAGGATTGTCTGGCTTGTCATTTTTAATCTTCACAGCCAGAGATATAACAGTTCTCTCCATTTTTTAAAGCTTTGTTTTGTGTGATTTTCTTCATACCACATCATCACTTCTGTAAAATGTATTGTTTTAAATTGTCACTTTTATGAGTGGGGTATTTCCCCATTATCTTTTCTGATTAATTATTGTGGAGATGTAGCTTTTTTATGAAGCTGGTAATAGGATAATTGGAGCTTGAAGCTATGAAACTGAAATCTGCAAGATTCCTTGAGCAACACTTTCACATCTGATTCTGTCTCCAGTGGACCAGAGAAAAGTGTAAAGCTCATTGCCCTCATGGGTGCCAAGAAATGGCTTTGAAGGCATTTGCTTAGCAACTGGGAGTAGCTGGGTAGTATACAATCCACTGAGTCTTTTTAGACATGCCTTAATACCTGTCACTTCCCTTGCCAGGTCCATATAACTTTAAGGCAAGAAAAACAAAAGTGTACCCACTGGTTACTCAGTTGGTTTCACTTCCGCTAGTTTTTCACTCATCACTTTAAAGCCAGATTTGGGTGTCAAGCCAATGCAGTTCTCCAAACTGTTATCTGATCTTTAACATGGTGATAATAGGTGTCCCACCTATTTCATGGAGCTGCTGAGATTAACTGTTTAAAAGTACTTCGGAAACCGTTACCATGGTTTTGTACTTATTTAAATGCAACTTCCCTGAGCCTAAGTATCTCCAACTATAAAACAGTGAACTCATGGTTCCAAAGTTCGTAGCATATACTAACTGAATAGGGAGATTTGTGATCATTGTGATTATCATCACTCATTACTGAAACAGGTTGCCTTTAGTTACAAGTACAGCAAGCATGATTCAAACTGGCTTAAATAATAAGAAAGGTCATTGGTTCATGAAACATGTAATTGAGAAATGGGTAGACTTCAGGGTCAGTTCAAACCTTTGCATTTTCTATCCTTTTCTTTGCATTCTGTCATTTGTAGGTTGCTCATTCCAAGGCTTTAGGATTGGGGCTCCATGCTTTCTCACTCATTCACCCATATTCAGATGAAAGAGAGAGGGAGGGGGAGAGAAATTAAGAGTTAGAAGCTGGCTTCCTGGGCTGTCTTAGGGGATCCAGGAATCTCCCCGGCAACCATTCCCCTCCACTCAAGTTAGCCCGCGTGCCCAATTTTGAATCAATCACTGTGAAAGGCTATTAGGAATTATCTGATGGCTTAGATCACGTTTTCTCAGCCCCAGCACTATTGACCTTTTGGGCTGGATAACTGTTTGCTGTGGAGGGGTTGTGCTCTGTATTATAGCACCTTAACATCTACCCACCAGATGTAAGTAGCAATCACATTGCCAGAAGTCCTCTGGAGGCAAAATCTCCTTTGGTTGAGAACCACTGGCTTAGATACATCAGGTTTCACCTCTAGAACCAGAAGTGGGGCCAGCTCCCTACACACTCATTGCTGAATGGGGGAGGAGCAATAGCCACTTAAAATCTGGGCAGTAATAGGAGGTAGGAAAATGGGTGCTATGAGGGCAACACAGATGTTCACCACGATTCCTTTGGGCCTGGAAAACCCAAGTCTTTAGTGCAAATGCCTCTGAGGGAGCGGCACTTACATAATGAAGTCTTATTGGTGCATAGACAAAGGGTAGGCTATAACAAATGTACAGCTTTCTAAAAATGCAGCAGAGAGAGCTGGGGACGAGCACTAGGGAGACAGGGATGCTCAAGCATTGGGAAAAGAGATAGAAAGGAAAAGCTGAGATTGACAGAAGCCAAGTTCTGTTACAATCCTGAGTATCCTTGGCCAACCGTGGCCAAGGTTGCAAATTGGGGCTTCGTGGGCAATATCCAGTTGGCAGACATGTTTTATTTGACCCACACAGTTGGACTGCACACTTTTTTTACTTGGTTGCAAGATTTTATATTTTTAAAAGTTGGAGAGAGAGAGAGAGAGAGAGAGAGAGAGAGTGCAAATTGGGACTTCATGGGCAATATCCAGTTGGCAGACATGTTTTATTTGACCCACACAGTTGGACTGCACACTTTTTTTACTTGGTTGCAAGATTTTATATTTTTAAAAGTTGGAGAGAGAGAGAGAGAGAGAGAGAGAGAGAGAAATATCTATTTGTTGTTCCACTTATTTATGCATTCATTGGTTGCTTCTTGTATGTGCCCTGCCAGGAGATCGAACCTGCAACTTGATGTATTGGCACGACGCTCTAACCAACTGAGCTACCTGGCCAGGGTTGGTTGCAAGATTTTAAATTGAGAGATTTAACATAAAAATCCAGATTTCTGTCTGCTCTTTCTTTTTGTTTTCTTTTTCAAAAAAAATATATTTTATTGATTTTTTTATAGAGAGGAAGGGAGAGGGATAGAGAGTTAGAAACATCGATGATTGGGTGTGGAGAGAGCAGAGCGCCTGAAGAATTGCTTCTCTGTGTACAACACATCCAACAGCAACTTGGGCTTACTCCTCACGGGTGGCAGAATACTATTGTCTTCCTGTGACATTACGCCCTATACAAAAAAAAAAAAAAAAGAAACATCGATGAGAGAGAAATATTGATCAGCTGCCTCCTGCACACCCCCTACTGGGGATGTGCCCACAACCAAGGTACATGCCCTTGACCGGAATCGAACCTGGGACCCTTCAGTCCGCAGGCCGACACTCTATCCACTGAGCCAAACCGGTTAGGGCTCTGTCTGCTCTTTCAAAACTGGAAGATCTTCCACCACTGGACCATTTATCCTTGCTGGCTAACCCTTGCCTTCTTTAGACAGGGCCTGAGCTTTCCAACCCACCATCCTATCGTCACCCCTATACTTTGGCAGGATATTTTTGGTAGAATAGGCTAAACTGATATAATGACCAGACACCAAAATATAATGGCTCAAACACAATAGAAGTTTATTCCTCATTCACTTAATAGTCCGTGGCAGATGGTCCAGGTCTGTGAGCAGCCCTCCTCCAAATGATGAATCAGGGATCCAGGATTCTTCCTTCTTGAGACTCCACCTTCTTTCTTGGGACTCCAACACCCCTAGGGCTGTGTCATCCTATGCATCCAGCTGATAGTGTGTAAAGGAGACAAACACGCATCAGCCCAAAGTAGCACATATCATATCCACTCACACCCCATTGGTGAGAACTAGTCATGTGGCCACATCAAGCCTCAAGGAAGGCTGGGAGATATAGTCCTAGGTGAGCCAACACTTCCCAGCCACAGCTCTGTTATTATGGAAGGGCAGAACAGATATTGGTGGACGTCAAGCCATCTCTACCTTATATGAAATTGTGGGGAGAATTCTTCAGCCATTTAAATCACAGACACCCCGGAGGTTCCTGTAGCCCAGTCGTAAATATGCAGGAGATTTCTGGGACTTGAACAGATTGCATCAGTTTCTTCCAGGTATGGATATATTGAAGAACGTCATCTCCTGTGCCCAGTATGTGTACGAACTATGTGAAAAGATGCAACACTGCGAGGGACAGTACAAACGTCTAAGGAACCGCATCCACGGCCTGCTGCAGCCTCTGCAAGAGCTCCAGGACCGAGGAGAGGGGAACCTGTCCCCTGGGATCATCACTGCCCTGAACAATTTCCAGGCTGCCCTTGAGGAAGCCAAGAAGAAGATAGATAAGTTTAGCGATAAGTCCTTTCTCCATAAGTTTCTAAAATCAGGGAGGAACAAAGAACTCTTTACAGATGTGAACAATAGGCTGAACGATGTCTACCAGGAGTTCTCACTGACGCTTCAGGTGCATCAGTGGGTGTCTATTTCAAGCATCAGCAGAGAAGCCTGGAAAAAAGAGGATCAGCAGGATGCAGAGGAAGATTGGCGAGTCTTCCAGAGTCTAACCGGTAAGGCTTCTTTTGTCATGGGGAGTAAATGGGGGCATTTTAGTCTCTTTTGATTTACCAGAGAAGCAGGAAGGCTGAAGAGGTTTGAGCAGATGTCATTCATGTGACTCAGAACTCCTAACATCCATGGGCCCAGATATGGCGGGGGGCGGGGGACCTGGTGAAATTTGGGCAAGCCAGAGTAGGAGAGAGGTTGGGGGTGTTGATACTAATGTCTTCTTTGCTTCTTCATTCTCTTTGATGTAATACCTAGAATTCCAGAAGCTAATTCCTTCCAGCCTTACTTTTTCCAGGACCTTCTGTTAATATGTAAATTATCAGGAGGAAGAACTAACTAATTAACTAAGCAAACATGAATTGAGTATAGTCACGTGCCACTTAATGGCAGGGATACATTCAAAGAAATGTGTCATTCGGCGATTTCAGCGATGTGGGAACATCAGCGTGGACTTACACAAACCTAGATTGTCTAGCCTACTACACACCTGGGCTGTATGTTATAACCTATTGCTCCTAGGCCACAGCCTGTACAACATTCGACTGTACAAACCAACTAAAGATTAAGTCAAGAGAATATGATGCAATCAGAAGACATAGTAAACATGAGATATATGAGGTTGCTGCTGGCATAATATTGCATACGGTTTTACAGTAAACTTTTTTTATAAGTAGAAAGAGTACACTCTAAAATGACAATAAAAAGGATAGTATAGTAAACACATAACCCAGTAGCCTAGTCACTTATTATCAAGTATTATGTACTGTACATACAGTGGGGCCTTGACTTACGAGTTTAATTCATTCCGTGACGGAGCTCGTAACTCAAATTACTCGTATATCAAATCAAAAAGTGAATGAGTGAGACACGTGATGCTGGGCTGATTTTGTGTCATTCACTGTGACGTTCGCTGCGCCAACTAGCGGTGGGGTATCTGAAGCTGGCTCGCAACCCGAATTTTAACTCGCAACTCAAAGCAAAAAATCGGCCGAGAGACGGCTGGTATCTCGAAAAACTCGTTAGTCGGGACACTCGTAAGTCAAGGCCTCACTGTAATTGTATGTGCTATACTTTTATATGACTAGCAAGGTAGTAGGTTTGCTGAGACCAGCATCACCACAAACACATAAGTAATCACTGTGGGACATCACTTGGTGATAGGAATTTTTCAGCTCCATTATAACCTTATGGCCCACCATCATATATGCAGTCCATCGCTGACCTCAACATCATGAAGCACACAACTGTACCTACTGTATACCAGCTAGTGTTCTGCGTTTCTGAGACATAACACAGAGAAAAATAGACAAAATCTCTGCCCTCTTGAAACATAAAGTCTGCAGATAGAGGTCTAAGTCATTTTATTTAAAAGCAATGAAAGCCATAAGCAGGGCAATGAAATAGAAAGTGACAGCGGATGCAGACTGAGTGTTCAGGGAAAGCTTCTCTAACCGGTGGCATTGGAATGGACGCCTTGAATAATGAGAAGGAGCAAGCCATATGAAGATGAGGGAGAGGAGCATTCCCAGCAGAGAAAACAGGAGATGCAGAGGCCCTGAGATGGGGAATAAATGTGGCAAGTGCAAGGAACAACCAGAAGGCAGGATGGCTTTGGTGGGGTAGACATGGAAGAGAGAGTAGTATGAGATGGAGGTGGAGAAGTAGGCCGGAAGATACAGAGATACAGGAGCAAGGTCATACAGGGCCTTGAAGGCATGAAAAGAAATATAGGTTTTATTCTGAGTCATAGGAGCCAGGAAAGAGAGGTCTTAAACGTGGGCCTGTCATGATTTGACTTGTATTAAAGAACATCACTTGGGCCCTAACCGGTTTGGCTCAGTGGATAGAGCGTTGGCCTGCGGACTGAAAGGTCCCAGGTTCGATTCCGGTCAAGGGCATGTACCTTGGTTGCGGGCACATCCCCAGTAGGAGGTGTGCAGGAGGCAGCTGGTCGATGTTTCTAACTCTCTATCCCTCTCCCTTCCTCTCTGTAAAAAATCAATAAAATATATTTAATAAAAAAAAAAAAGAACATCACTTGGGCTGCCATGTGGCAATGGACTGTAATGATATGTATTAGTCAGTTGCTATACTAATACTGCAGTAACAAACCATCCCAAAACTCAGAGGCTTGAAACAATAGTCATTCATTCTCCTGCTCACAGATCTGTAGGTCCATTGGGATTCTTCTGATCTCAGGGGCCTGGACTGGGCTGGGCTCCAGGCAGCAGGTCTAATTTAGATCTGTTTAACCTGTCTCATTCTGGAGCCGAGGTTGTAGGAGCAGTGAGTCCTTGGAGAATGTTCTTTTGGCAGAATTGCAAGAAGGCAAGCTCCACAGGACCAGCACGATTCAAGCCTCTACTTGTGTCCACTAATATTCAAAGCCATCGATGTAGCCAAGCCCAACATGAAGGGACAGGGAAATACAGTGTGCCCGCTATGAAGCTATAATAGTGTGGATGTATAAAACTATTACATAGGAGTGAAGAATTGGGACCAATCATTCAACATACCCCAGAGGGCAAGAGTGGAAATGTGAGCCTAGTTAAGAGCCACTTTGAGACTAGGTAAAAGATGACGGTGGCTTGAACTAGAGTGGCCCTTGAACTTGGTGGACTTAGTGGAGGACAAGGCCTTAGGGATGAAACATGGGCTAGGTTGGAATAGGGGGTGACAGTGGGGCCAGGGCCACCAGAAGAGGGAACAGAGCGGAAGAATGGAAACAAATGTGGCCTCTTTACCCCTTTGCAGATCCTGGTGATAGGAATTCTAAACTCGTCCCTTTTGTAAGGATTGTGGGTGGAGAGAGAGGAAGTGAGGAGAGGGTAAAGGACATTTGAATGAACCTTCTGGGCACTGGAGCCCAGCAAAATCACTGTTCTGCCACCTTGATGTGGAAGGTGGTCCATCCCCAATCAGGTCGGCAGGAGACACTCAACCAGGACAAACCGCGCCTAGAAGAGACCTGTGGGCAAAATGGGTTCTTTTCTGGACGAGGGAAAGTGAGACATCTGTAATCCTCCAGCCAAACACCCAACAAAGAGAAACAGAATCAGGGGTTGGGGGCCAGGGGAGAGAGGTGTGTGCAGGGGCCAACCCAGCTGAAAGACAGGACTGGCCCCCAGCCTTCCTAATCTTCAGCACTCATTGGCCCACTTCCTGGGAAAGGTGGGGGGCATGTTAGTGTCATCAACTTGGAGGACAGGATTTACTTTCTGCTCTTGTTTTCAGTTTTGTTTGTTTTTTTATTGCTTTTTTCCCCCTTGACCTTCCCCTGGCCTCCCCTACCCCCCAGTGTCTTGTGTCCATTGGTTATGCTTATATGCATGCATACAAGTCCTTTGGTTGATCTCTTACCTCCCCTCCGCCCCACAACCCTCCCCAGCCTTCCTGCTGTAGTTTGACAGTCTGTTTAATGCTGCTCTGCCTCTGTATCTATTTTTGTTCATCAGTTTATAATGGTCTTTATTATTCATAAATGAGTGAGGCTTTTCAGTTTTTAAAAACACTTTTATCAAGTAATACATTCACAAGGTACAAAAAGGGCCCTGCATGAGAAGTAAATGTCCTTCTCACCCTTGACCTCACAGGAACTGTTTCCTTCCCAGACATAATCTTCTTTACCAGTTCGTTGAATAGCCTTCCAGATATTTAAGAATATAGATTTTTTTATCAATGTTACACTATCACTAGCATCCTAAACACACTGTTCTGCTTCTTGCTTTTCTCACTAAATCTTGAATATTCAGCCATATTAATTTCCGTAGAGTTGCCTCGTATTCTTTGGTATACATGGGCCAGATTTATTTATTTATTTATTCATTCATTTATTTTAAAATATATTTTATTGATTTTTTTACAGAGAGGAAGGGAGAGGGATAGAGAATTAGAAACATTGATGAGAGAGAGAGAAACATCAATCAGCTGCCTCCTGCACACCCCCTACTGGGGATGTTGCCCGCAACCAAGGTACATGCCCGTGACTGGAATCGAACCTGGGACCTTTCAGTCCGCAGGCCGACGCTCTATCCACTGAGCCAAACCGGTTAGGGCGGGCCAGATATATTTAAACAACTCCCTATTGATGAACATTTGAATTGTGTCCAGTTTTCACAATTGTAAGTAGTCCTACCTTAAGTATCTTCGCATATATTTCAGGATATCTTTAGGAACAATTCCTATAAGTGGGTCAAAGAGTATGAGCACTTTACTTTTTTTTTTTTTTTTTTTTTTTTTTACAGATGTCCCCAGCCTCTTTCCCTCCCCCTGGCACTTAAAATTTTGATAGAAATTGCCAGATTGTCCTCTACAGAGGTTAGATCAATATCATTCCTACCAACTATGTATGAGATTGTGTTTCTCCACACTTTTCTTCATTAGCTTTAGCACTGAAGGTCCTATCAGTTTTTAAATGTATTTCTGATTATATAAATAAGGATAGATGAGATTATGCTATGGTGTAAAAAAAAACAAAAACCACACAACAGTGTCTCAAAGAAAGAAAACTTTATTTCTTATTTAGGCAAAGTCCAGGAGACTCCGAGGTAGCAGCTGTCCTTTCCAGGAACTTTCAAGGTTATGGCACTTTCGCATTGACACAAACTTCCTTCGCATTTCTTTCACTTCATTTCCTAGTCAAAGCGAGTGACACGGCCATGCTTCAAGGCATTCACTATGTGCTTAGAAGTAGAAAGATGAGCCCTAACCAGTTTGGCTCAGTGGATAGAGCGTCGGCCTGCAGACTCAAGGGTCCCAGGTTTGATTCTGGTCAAGGGCATGCACCTGCAGGCACATCCCTAATGGGGGGTGTGCAGGAGGCAGCTGATCGATGTTTCTAACTCTCTATCCCTCTCCCTTCCTCTCTGTAAAAAATCAATAAAATATTTTTTTTAAAGAAGTAGAAAGATGAATATTCGTGAGCAGTAGTAGTAATCCCTACTGCAATGAATATGGTAAGTTAAAGAAAATGGGACCTCGGTGTGCTTTTAATTCGCATTTCTATTTTTGAGTATTTGCTACTCTTTTTTCCTGCAGAAAGTGAAATTATCGAAGCTTCAGTGGAGCAAGTGAAAAATGAAGTGGAAAAAATCATGAGGCGCCGTGAGTTACCTGTGACCTGCTGCTTCTGACTGCCCCCAAACCAAAGTCATTTGTTCAGTAGGAACTCCAGTCTTCCCCCACCCCACCACTGCCCATTTTCTAGGCTGGATGGTTGGAAACAGCCCACAGGTTTGCGGATTTGCTCATAACTTAGCCCAGGCTTCTGTCCATGGAGTAGCATTTGAAGGGAACTTCTTGACCTCCAAGATACCTTCTAGTACCGGTCTAAGCGCTGACAACTTCCTCTAGATCAGCGGTTCTCAACCTGTGGGTCGCGACCCCTTTGGGGGTCGAACGACCCTTTCACAGGGGTCACCTAAGACCATTGGAAAACACATATATAATTACATATTGTTTTGTGATTAATCACTATGCTTTAATTATGTTCAATTTGTAACAATGAAAATACATCCTGCATATCAGATACAGTGGGGCCTTGACTTACGAGGGTTCGGAGACCGAGCACGTTAAGGAGCTCGTTAACTCAAATTACTCTATCAACTCAATACAAAAAATCAGCGAGAGACAGCTGGTATCTCAAAAAACTCGTTAGTCGGGACACTCGTAAGTCAAGGCCCCACTGTATTTACATTACAATTCATAACAGTAGCAAAATTACAGTTATGAAGTAGCAACGAAAATAATTTTATGGTTGGGGGTCACCACAACATGAGGAACTGTATTAAAGGGTCGCGGCATTAGGAAGGTTGAGAACCACTGCTCTAGATAGTATCGAAGCTTCTTTTGCTGAATTCCCAAGAACAAATGCAAATCAAATTTAAAATATTCATCACTCATTTGACCAATCTGTATCTGCTGTCAGAGCCTTGTACATAGAGCCAAGTCAGATGCAGAGAAAGACCCTGCCTTAGGGGAGCTCACAGCCACAGGGTAGGAGGGAGGGAGAGGAAAGAGAGTCATGTGAACACATACCAGCAGTGGAGTCACTCAGCTTGAACTGTGTATCTCACTATTAGAGCTGAAATGACTAAACAAAATGCTAAATGTTCCAGTGCCGAGCTCAAGTGGCAGTAGGAGTAGGAAGGGCTCCAAAACGAGTGAGACGGGTTGAGATGGAGGTTTAGGCTGGAGAGACAGGCAGGACTTGAAGAAGAGGGGCAGGAAGTACATGACACATTTTTGTTAACCATCCAGCTGTGTCTCTACTGGTCCTTCAGAGGCTCTGGAACCTCTTACCCAGGCTGAGTGAGTCAGAAGGTCCTGCTAGGGCCAGCTTTGGGTCATGGCATAAGGCTTCCCACTTACATGTTTACAGAGACACGTCTTCCCTTAGGACACCTTCCTCAGCTCATTGACTCTATTTCCTTCTGTCCTACGGTCAGAATTACAGAAATCAATAAAGGCGGCCCTAGCATATAAAATCACGGAGATTAAGAAGGAGGAGCTTTCTGATTGGATCTCTCTAAAGAAAAATGAATTCAGCGAAGTTTTTAAAGGAAAATATTACCAATCTCCAGTGGCCATAAAAGTATTCAACAACGTCCAGACCAGAAACCCTGGGTAAGTGCTTTTGTATAGTTACTATCTCATGTATCATTTCACTTCCTCTCTAAAACTCCCCAAGGAGAGAGGCGTATTGTCTCCATTAGGTGGGAGAATGGGGCCCCAAAGGGTGAAATGACTTGCCCTCTACTCTTAAGGAGCAGAGCCTAGACTTTAAGTGCATGTCTTCCAACCTCAATTCTAGAAACTTCTCTCTTTTATTCATACATTTAGTTATTTAAAAATTTGTATTCCCTTCCGTTCCTATTTCTCAGTTCCCCATCCCCTCCACAGGCAATAAAGTGTGTTTTGTTTGTAGGTGTTCTTGTAAAATGTATGTTGTTGTTATATGTGCGTGCATCTTTTATTTTCACAAGCGGTAGTGTTATATGTCTGTTGCCTACTGTTCTTACCTTTTCCACTCAGCATCAGGGAACTAGTACTGTACTTGTAGCCCTTTCCTTCTGACTGCTGTCTGTGGTGTAGACCCACATTTTACCTATTTTTCCAATGATGGAACCCAACCTGTTTCCAACGTTCCCCCACCAAAAATAATGCCACCATAAGTACCCCTTTATGGACCTGTATGAGAATTTCTTTGGGCTGTGTTGCCAGGAGGGGAATCAGTGGGTCCTAGAGGAATCATGGGTCATGCTTATATGAAATTGACTAAGTACTACTAGAATGGGTTGCAGGTGCCTATACTCTCCCCAGCAATGTGTGAGAGCTCTAGAGTTACATATCTCTACCAACTCTTAGTGTTATCCAGCTTTCTCATTTTTCTCATGCTTATGGTTATAAAGTAACATCCTATCGCTATTTTGATTTGCATTTCTGTTTACTAATGAATTTGAACATTTATTCATATGGCTTTTAGCTATTTGGGTTTCCACTTCTCTATATTGCCCTTCTTTCTGTCATGGTTGCTGTTTTTGTCATGTCCATGTGTAGAAGATAAACATGTATATTGTGGCAATTAATCATTTCTAAGTTTGAGATATTGCAAAGGTCTTCTCTCATCATATTTTCTATACTTTAATTTTGCCAGTGGTGTCCATCAACAGACAGCTTAAATTTTGATGTTATTAATTCTACCAAAATGTTACATTATTATGTATTTGTGCTCTTGAGGTGCCCTTCCACTCCCCTAGGCATTCCAGATTTCTTCTATTAACTTTGAGTTTTACTTCTCACATTAGGCTTTAATTCTCCTGGAATCCACCTTTGATATTATGTAAGGCCTAGTTTTATTTTTTATCTATACAATGAATCCATTTTCTCTACACCAGCTATTAAATGTTTTCCCCCATTGACTTGTGGTGCCACATTTGTTGTATGTTAAGTTTCTATTTAGACATGGATCTGGCTCTAACCTCTCTATTACATTCCACTGGTCAATTTGTCTTTGCACCAATAACACTGTTTTGCTTTTATTATGACTTTTTAGTAATTCTCAGTATCTAGTAAGGTAACTTACTCCATCTTGGCTCTTCTTTCTCAGGTTGACTAAGCTAAATAAATATCACATTCCTCAACATACACATTGAGATTTTGATTGGGATAGTATTTTTAATAACTTTATTGACACATCATTTACATACCATAAGATTCACCCATTTAAAGTGTATAACTTACTGGCTTTTAATATATTTACAGAGTTGTACAACCATTGCCATAAAGTGATTTTTAGGACATTTGCATCATCCCACAAGGAAACCCTAGACCCTTTAGCAGTCACTCCCCATATACTGCTACCCCCACCTTCTCTAGCCCTAGGCACCTACTAATCTACTTTCTGTCTCTATGGATTTGTGTGTTCTGGATATTGCACACATGGAATGATATGATATGTGGCCTTTTGTGTTTGACTCCTTTCACTTAGCATGATCTTTTCAAGGTAAATCTATGTTGTAGCATGTATTGTGCATGCTAATTCTACTGCTAAACACTGCCATCAGTGGCCAAGCTCATCTCACCCCAGGATGCTGACAATCCCCCACACATGCACAGATGGTCCCTACACTATATGTTCTCAGAGGGACCCTCCCATCTTGAAATCTTAATTGTCCCTTTCATCCTCATAGAACAGTGAGGCATGTTTTCAATAATGAGGTCACAACCATGAAGAAATTTGATTCTCCTAACATCCTGCGTATATTTGGGATTTGCATTGATGAAACAGGTAAGGAGTGCTTCTGAGGTTGGGCCTTCTTTTGGTGGTCTGTCATATATCTTATAATGCATTGCATTTTTAAAGAAGAGCTGGAAGGGTGGGATCTATATAGTGTGATTATGATCAGTGTTCGTTTTTCTGCATCCCAAGATGCAGGTTCCCATATCCTTTCAGGAAACAAGGGCTTGAATTTGGCTTCATCCTGAAGGCTGATTTGCACTAATGTGGCCACCTCCTCTTCTCCCCGTCTACTGGGGATCTTGTTCAGATACTGGCCTGAGTGATGGAAGCATCTTGTTGCAATAAAACATGATAAAGCTGCCTGATCAGTATAAGGAATCTACCCTGGATCATCATTAGTGTAGATCAAACCCCAAGACTCAATTAACCTGCCCCTTTATCAAGAACAAGGAATCTATCCTTGCTCATATCATTAGTGTAGATCAAACCTAAAAACTCAATTAACCTGCCCCTTGACCAAGAACCTCATGTGTCAGATTCTTTTTCATTTTAATTTTTTAATGTGGCTGCATTTTCCCTCATAGCATGGCCTCTCCTGTGGGTTATACATTGTTGCTCTTGCCTACAGAGGGGACAGAGCAACCCCTTTAAATGTTTTATTCCCCTTTAGACGTTTCTCTACAGCCTCCCTCAACTAAAGGAAAACTTCCAGTGATATCTGGTCTCCTGGGTGATGGCTGAGGTGACTGACTCATTCTTTGTGTGTCGGTTCTTGCATCTGAGGGTGTGAACAAAACAGAGCCTGCCCTCTGGGACCTGAACTTGAGTGGGGGAGACATTACTCAAATAACTAAGAGAATGTATAATTACGACATGCCAAATACTATGAAGAAGAGGTATGGGAACTCTGTGGGTATTTGACCCATTCAGTGAGGTCAGGATGCAAACTGTGTGAGATGGGGTTAGAGGGTGGGGGGAAAGCAGTGTAGCGCTGATTTCTGTGTCTGTAGAGATAGGGGGAGATGGGCTGCAGAGCAGGACCTCTGAGTGGGGCTGATCTTCTTTCCATCAGTGACCCCACCTCAATTCTCCATTGTCATGGAGTACTGTGAGCTCGGGACCCTCAGGGAACTGCTGGATCAGAAAAAGGACCTCACATTGGCTGAACGCATCGTCCTGGCCGTGGGGGCAGCCAGTGGCTTATACAGGTACCATATGGGTTGAAAGGATGCTGAGAAGAACAGAATGAGTCTTCCTTCCCTACTGATATCCCAGAGAGGATGAGAGAACAGGCCAGAAGCCCAAGATAGTCTCCCCTTCCTTAAGTTTTTGTTGTTGTTAATCCTCACCCGAGGATATTTTTCCACTGATTTTTAGAAAAAGTGGGAGGGGGAGAGACAAAGAGAGAGAAATATCGATGTGAAAGCGACACATCAATTGGTTGCCTCGAGCACTCGCCCTGACCAGGGATTGAGCCCACAACAGAGGTACAAGGGGGAGAGGCATGGTACTGACCAGCCTCCTTGTTCCGGTAATAACTGTCAAGCCTCCCGGGAAGGTCTTGCAAAGGTCACTAACGCTCCCTGCCTTTGGTCATGTCAGGCTGCACCATTCCGAAGCCCCTGAACTCCATAGAAACATCAGCAGCAGGAGCTTCCTAGTAACTAACGGCTACCAAGTGAAGGTGAGTGTGGCCTTCCGGGGGGCTCTTTGAGTTCAACCTTGGTGACTGTTTGGTGCCGGGAGAGGGACACCTGTTTCCCAGAAAAGCTGTGCCTGCTTGTTTCTCTGCCTTAACCTTAGAACTGAACTCAAAACTCTTTCCCTGCCTGGACAGCTTTCCGTGTGCCCACCATAGGTCAGACTCAATCCTGCCTGCTGTTAGGATGCCTATCTTCACTCACCACCTGCTTAGCAGGGACGGGCTAAGAGTCATTTCCCTTATTTTTTAAGAGACTGGGACGAAATGATTTTTAAAATATGTTTTTATTGATTTCAGAGAGAGGAAGGGAGAGGGAGAGAGATAGAAACATTGATGAAAGAGAAACATTGATCGGCTGCCTCCTGCACACCCCCTATTGGGGATCGAGCCTGTACCTGGGCATGTGTCCTGACCAGGAACTGAACCAGCCACCTCCTGGTGCATAGGATGAGGCCCAACCAACTGAGCCACTCTGGCTGGGCGAGAGTCATTTCCCTTTAGATTCCTGGACACCACTTCTACATCCCCCCAATACCCACCAGGGGATCTTCTCAGGCCCAACTAGGCATTCAGACTTACAGGACTGACATAGGCCACACTTGGCATTTGGAGTCACTTAGAAGGGTATCATGCAGGAAACATAGCTTGCCAGCACGGCAGCGTCAAATCTTTCTCTCCAGTGGAGTCCCCACGGCTGTCCCACAGTCACCCAGGAGGTGTTCTCTTTGCCCTGCCCCAGGTGCTAGAGAAAGAGGCTCCCTCCGGTGGGTGTGGGGTCCTCTAGCCTTAGAAGCCTCATGACCCTCAGAAGTCATATTATAACAACTTCTGAGGCATATCTTCAAGTGTCCCCACGGAGGCATGCCAGTTATAAGATTCACCACATGCCTTAACCGTTTTGGCCCAGTGGATAGAGCGTCGGCCTGCGGACTGAAAGGTCCCAGGTTCGATTCCGGTCAAGGGCGTGTACCTGGGTTGCGGGCACATCTCCAGTAGGAGGTGTGCAGGAGGCAGCTGATCGATGTTCCTCTCTCATCGATGTTTCTAGCTCTCTATCCCTCTCCCTTCCTCTCTGTGAAAAATCAATAAAATATATTTTTTTTAAAAAAGATTCACCACGAAGTCCAGCATCCCTATCAGCTCTTTATAGTCTGCATACCCTGTCAATAAACTTTACCAATCAGTGACCATTTTTTGCCATCAACATATTACTTAGGAGCATAGGTGACAGTCTGCTTTTATCGGGTTCCCAAGGAAATGGAGCTAAAAAGTTGGATTCTAATAAGGAAGAGAAAGGGTTTAACTCAATGTCCATAATTCCCAAATGCTGAAAGAGTATTTTCTTTGTCATCCATAGATGGCTTTCTTTCTTCCAGCATTATGAATTTCAGAGACAGCCCCCCAAAAACAGAAGTTAGTTCTTTTTTGCCATTCCTCCTCGTCGGTGTGATATAAGTGCTCCCAAAGCACCATGACTATATCACTCAGGGTCCTCATCCTGCCTGACTGTAACATGTGCTCTTCAGCCTTTCCTCTCTGGTATCTAGCATGGTGCCAGATGTCAGAGGATGTTAGTGCTCAGTAAACATGTAATGGAAAGGGGATGAGCCCGGCCAGTGTTGCTCAGTGGTTGATGAGCGTGGATCCATGAACCAAGAGGTCACTGGTTCGATTCCCAGTTCAGGTACATGCCTGGGTTGCAGGCTCAATCCCCAGTGGGGTGTGTGCAGGAGGCAGCCGATCCATGTTTCTCTGTCATTAATATTTCTACCTCTCTATTCCTCTTCCATCCTCTCTCTCTAAAAAAGTCAATGAAAACGTATTTTTAAAAAAGGGTGGGGGATAAGCCCTCTACGTGTCTTATCCTTTCCTCACCTTGCCGCTAGGTTTGCATGTCTAGCCAAGTTTGGGGGTGGCACACCTCTGCACACCGATGGTACTAATGACAGGTGTACATGGAGAAAGGAGAATATCTGCTCCCATTAATTGTGTTGTGGCTTCTTTAAGAGCATGGCATTGGCCATGCAGGATCAGTGGGGGTAACTCAGAGTTGTCATGTAAAATCCAAAGCAACAGGCTGGCTGTTCTATAGGGTCAGATCAACAGAGAGGGTGCCCTATGTCATTTTTTCAACTGCTTCTGAGAGAAAGCAAGCCATGTGGTAGCTCCATGCACCTCTTCCACCCTCACTTAGTGGAGTTAAGTCCTCAACTGAGAAAGCACTGCATCTAATACAGTGATACTAGAACAGCTACAACTTACCAAGTCTTACAAGTGCTTTATAACCATTATCTCAGGTAATCCTCATTGCCCCATTTTATAGAGAAGAAACCTTTGTGTTTCTCTTGGTCAATACACCATAATAAATTAAACCCATAATGCCAGCCAGTATGGTAGCCACACAGAGAGAAGACATCACTGGAAATACATTTCAAAGGTAAAAGACTCTCCCCGACAATCATGTGTAGCACCAAGCCCTTGCCCACTACTCCCAACCCAAGATCGTATTGTTTCTTTCTATCTCTAATTCACCTCTCCATCTAGCTTTCAGGATTTGAGTTGAGCAAAACACAGACTTCCATCAGCAGAACAACTAAGAGAAAAAAAGAAGGGACAGTCAATTCCACAGCATATATCTCACCTCAAAGACTGGGAAATGTGTACTATAAATATGACATAGCAGCTGAAATATACAGGTATGTTCATGTTCTTGCTCAGACTCTAACTCAGATGAACAGGACAGGAAAGCCCAAGTCAAACTCCACATCCAAACACCATCATACCTCTACTCTGTTGAATGGAATTGGGTGGCAATCAAAAAATTCACTGAAGTTTCTAGAAATGGCTAAGAGGTGTGGGAAAACAGGAACATTCTGATTGTTCAGCTTCTCGGTTTTCTTTCAGCTTTGGAATTGTCCTCTGGGAAATCGTCACTGGGAAGACCCCGTTTGAAGGTAACCAGGGTGAAGGTTGGCTCAGATGGTGCTGGGATTGGGTCCTTTTCCAGAAGACTAGAAATTCCCCATCAGTGCTGTCCTGGGTGTTTTGTTCTCCAATGTGGGCACTGCCTGGGCTGGTCACTGAAGTCATTGGAAGCTCTTGTTTCTTCAGTACTTAAAGTCCCTAAGTCTGATGCCAGCAATCCTCATCCAGAGAGATGTGTGAGTGCCAGAGCAATATTTCAGCCTCTCATCCTCTTGTTTCCATGCCAGGCTGTGATTCTAGGAAGATCCACCAGCTGGTGGCTGTGAACAAGCAGCAGGAGCCACTGGGTGAAGACTGCCCTTCACAGTTGAAGGAGATCATTGATAGTTGTCGGGCTTACGAGCCCTCCAGGCGGCCCTCTATTAAGGGTAAGGTCCTCTCTGATCCGAACAATGTGAGCCACATGTGTTAGTTCACATTTGTGAAAGATTTCCTTTATGGTTCACAAGCAGGGGTGATTTTGCCCCTCGGGGGACATTTGGCAATGTCTAGAGATGTTTTTTGGTTGTTACAACTCAGGGACGATGGGTGGGGTAGATCATACTACTGGCATCTAGTAGATAAATGCTACTCAACATCCTACAATGCAGAGGACAGCCTCCTACAACAAAGAATTCTACAGCCCAAATATCAATAGTACAGGACTTCAGAAACTCTGTGTTAAGGGACGGTGTTTAGTCTAAAGTGGGTTGGGGAGGTAGATTATTCCAGCTTATATTCACTATATTCATATTCTCTCGTTCTCTCTCTCTCTCTCTCTCTCTCTCTCTCTCCTCCCCCCTTCTTTCCTTCTTCCCTCTTCTAGGCTCCCTTGCAACTCAGGGTCAGCCTGGTATTAGAGAATCTAAAACTGAGACTAATTCGCACTAAGATGGGAGTTTACCCCTCCTTTGTATTTGAGAAGTTGACCAAGTAAGAAGGAACATCATATCACTAAGGCATGAATGCAGATGGTGGTTTAGGCTCCATCCAGCCAGACCAAAGGGAGTGCAGTTTATGCACTGTTGTGCAGTGTAGAAACATCTTTGTGCTTCTAGCTTGGCTTTCAGCTCCCTTTTATTGTCTAACTTTCTGCTCATTCATTCACAGAAATCTCAGAGAAACTGTCTATCTTCTACAAAGCTGTGGATTGAAACAGAAACTAAGGAGTCGCTGGACAAGAAACTGGAAGAGGCGAAAGCTGGGCATCTTTCTCTCTCTTATCCTCGGCATGGAGGATTTTTTTTATTTATGGATTTATTTTAGTTATTTATGGATTCAGGGAGGCAGCACTTCTCTGTTACAAAGAGAAAACAGTTCCAGTCATGCAGAGCACATCCCCCTCCAAACGATATTGTCAAAAGTATGTCTCTGATAGTAACTGTAATAGATGTTTTACAAAAACGTATCTCTCTCTGTATGGACACCTCTTAGCACTGTGACTTTGCAGCTCCTCCCATGGCAAAGTGGAATCTACACATGAAACTAATATATTATTGTATGTCAATTATATTTCAATCGAAAAGAAATACTCTCTCTTACAAACTGAAAGGTTTATAGATAATGCAATGATATATCTGGAGTTTAATTTAAAATAATTCAGGGGGAGGGAAAATAATCTTACCTAATAATAGACAAACATGTAAATTGACTGTCCCTCCGCTATGCTCACAAGCCAATCAGGAGAGTATGCAAATTAACCTAACAAAGATGGCGGTTAATTTGCATACGTAGGTGCGAAACGGCGGAGTGGGACGGAGCAGCGAAGACTGAAGGCGGCTCCGGCCAGAGTGAAGGCCTGGGTCCCGGGTGCCGGAGGAAAACCGGTGCCAGCAGGCAGGGGAAGGGAAGGCCTATTGCATGAATCTCTTCATGCAACAGGCCTCTAGTTATAAAGAAAAAAGTAAAATAAGATTAGCTATGAGTTGCTAGTTGTTGAATCTGGATGATGGGTACATATGGGTGAATATGCTTAAAACTTTCCACAATAGAATGATTTTTTAAAAGGGGGAAAAAATAAAGCCTACTTCTCCACTACTTGAATCTAGGCTGGTATTGTGACTGGCTTTGGCCAATAAAATGTAGAAGCGATGGTGTGCCCATTCCAAGCCTAGGCTTCAAGAGGCCTTATACACTTCCACTCCCTCTCTTGGACCCTGATCCAGACATGAACTGGGCTACTATGCTGGAGAATGAGAGATACATGGAGCAGAGACAACCTAACCCAGCTGGCCCAGTCAACACCAGAAGAACCACACAGCTGAACCAGACCAAACTGTACATTCAGCCCTAGCCAGTTTGGCTCAGTGGATAGAGCGTCGGCCTGAGGACTGAAAGGTCCCAGGTTTGATTCCGGTCAAGGGCACATGCCCGGGTTGCAGGTCCCGGTAGGGGGTGTGCAGGAGGCAGCCAATCTGATTCTCACCAATGATGTTTCTCTCTCTCCTTTCCTCTCTGAAATCGATAAAAATATTTTGTTTTTAAAAACTGCCCATTCACAAAATTATGATCTAAATAAATTATTGTTGTCTTAAGCCACTAAGTTTTGGGATGATTTGTTACACAGTGGTAGTAACTAAGCAAACACTGTTCAGTCTTCCTCTTGACCATTGAGCAAAATACAAACTCCCCATTTGGGTACCCATGGCCTGTATCTCTGACCCTAACCTTACTTCCTATATGAAGTTCCAGAGTTCTTCTACCAGAAACTGCAAACTCTAATGCCTATAGTGTCTCAGAGGAAACCCCCATGAGTGTGCTAGCCTGAAGCGGAGTTCGGTGAACAGATGAGCATTGTTCAGGACAGCCGCTGCTCACTTCAGTGTTTCCAGAGCTTTCCAATTTGTCAAAAGAAGCTGGATATTCAGATTTCTCTGTAAGTTGTCATATTTTTAAATGTTGGCATCTCATCAAAAATTATTTTAATGCCATATAGGGCAAACAAAAGATGTTCGTCTGGGAACTCCCATATTTTAATCTCTGCTAGATTCAAACCTGTGTCTCCTGAACCTGGTCCTCTTGTTCTGGAATTTTATACTTTTGCTCATGGTGAATGCTTTACATAGCATACACTAACCCTACCTCTAAATACCTGCCCCCCCCCTCAAAAAAAAACCCACAAAACTCATCCCAATTCATTCAACACCAAATGTGTGGGCTGTTGTTCCAATCACTGAGGAAACACAATAAACAAAATAAATTTGGAGCTTATATTCTAGTAATCTCTGGAGGGGGGGGGAGATATGGCTGATTTCTATTCTTTTGTATATTTTACTATTCTTTTAAAACTAGAGCATCTATAATAATAAAAGCATAATATGCTAATTAGACCAGACATCCTTCCAGACAACCTTCTGGACGAAGCCACGGCAGCGGGGGCCGAGGCAGAGGCAGCCGCTGCAGCAGTGGGGGCCAAGCCCCTTGCATGAATTTCGTGCATCAGGCCTCTAGTTCTATATAATAAAAGGTTAATATGCAAACAGACCGAACGACGGAACAACCGAATAACCAGCTGCTATGACATGCACTGGCCACCAGGGGGCGCATGTGGACCATGGTGGGCATCGGCCACGGCAGGATGGTAGAGCAGGTGAGTGGGGGCGCCAGACCAAGGTGACGGAACAACTGAATAACCAGCTGCTATGACATGTGCTGGCCACCAGGGGGCGCATGTGGACCATGGTGGGCATCGGCCACGGCAGGATGGTAGAGCAGGTGAGTGGGGGCGCCAGACCAAGGTGGGGTGCCAGTCGCTGTCATTGGAGCGAGCCTCTGGTGGTTACTAAAAATTCTTTGCTCCTGCGCCCTGCAGTCCCGCCTGGCCCTTGCACCTGCTGCTGGTGCCAGAGACGCTGCTCACACCCACTGCTGGTGCCAGACCCACTTGCACCCGCAGCCAGCACCAGAGCCACTGCTTGCACCCGCTGCTAGCGCCTGGCGCCCATCCCGATCGCTTGGCTGCTGGCCCCGATTGCCCCTGAGTGCTTCTCCACCTCCCCCTGCTCCTGAGGGGTGATCAGAGCAGCAGCCGTCGCTTGCACCCGCTGACGATGCCAGCCCTGCTCACACCCACTGCTGGCGCTGGCCCCAATTACTCCACCATCACGCAGTTGCGAGCGGGGCCAGCGCCATCTGCATGTGGGAGCGATGATGGCAGGAGCAGGACTGCCAGCAGACAGGGGACCAGGGGCCGCTGCCAGAGGGGCCAGTTGGGGGTGCATAGGATGGGCCAAGACCTACCCCTATGCCCACCACTGCCTTGCGGCCCACAGTTCCTTTCAAGGTGCACGAATTCGTGCACTGGGCCCCAAGTGATTTTATAAATAAAAAATGTAGAATAAACGTGGGCAGGCTGAGCATTTAAAATTATTCTTTTTTTTAGAGTTTTTCTTTAGGTTCTATTTTCATCTTTAAAATCCTTTGTTGTCTTTACTGTAGGGCTTACAACGAAAATTCTCCCTTGTAGATTAGTTATTTGTACTCTTGCAGACCTATAGGCAGAAGTGGATTTATTGTGAAACTAATAAAGCTTAATCTCCAGGGTCCTTCACTTTGCACAGAATATCTTCCAAGGCCCTGTAATTCATTCCCCCACACACACACCATTTATTTATGAAAATTTTCAAATACACAGAAAAATCAGTATAATTATACTCTGGACAACTATATGCCAACCACCTAAAATCTATGATTTACTATATTTAGTTTATCACATACTTATCCATCTATCCGTGACTCACTCTATCCATTAATCCATCCTCATTTTTTATGCATTTGAAAATAATTATACGGACAACTATATGCCAACCACCTAAAATCTACAGCTAACGATTTACTATATTTAGTTTATCACATACTTATCCATCTATCTGTGACTCTCTCTATCCATTAATCCATCCTAGTTTTTTATGCATTTGAAAGAAAATTTCAAGTATCAGTACACTTCATTCCAAAACACTTCAGCATTTATATTAAACTTAAGTTTAATATTTGTTTACAGGGGCTTAGGGGGATAAGCAGTTAACATTTCTATGTTGTGAAATGCACAAATCTTAAATATACCATTCAATGAGTTTTGACAAATGCATACACATGAATAATCCAAACCCCATCAAGATAATGAACATCATCATAATAATAAACCATACACATTTAAAGTGTGCAATTTGCCCTAACCGGTTTGGCTCAGTGGATAGAGCATCAGCCTGCGGACTGAAAGGTCCCAAATTCGTTTCCGGTCAAGGACATATACCTTGGTTGCGTGCACATCCCCAGTAGGAGGTGTGCAGGAAGCAGCTGATCGATGTTTCTAACTCTCTCTCCCTCTCTGTAAAAAATCAATAAAATATATGAAAAAAATAAAGTGTGCAATTTGATACATTGTTTTATGTAGATACCACCACAATCAAGATAATGAACATATCCATCAAGTCCTAAAGTTTTCTCATGCTCCTTTATAATCACTCCCTTCCACTCCTGATTGGTCACCACGGGGCAGTTCTGATTGGACAGGGCAGGTCTTAGGCGCTCCCTCACAGTCATCTAGGAAGACTTAGCAAGCAGAGCCTAGTGCCAGCAGCTCTGCTTGGTATACGGAGCACATGAAAAGCCCCTGCCAGCAAACAGTGGCTCAGCTCTTATTATTTGTAAAATGTGGGCCCTTGGTTGATCATGGGAGGCCATCTCAGCAGATACATCCCTTCTCGTGATTCACATCCAATGAATCTTCTTAGGTTCCACCAGCCAATAGAAAGGTTGGTATTTTTCACCCATAAAGCTTGGGATTTCACTCCTAAAGGGAACACAGCCAACACATTTCTTTCTAGCTATATGTAACCTTTGAAAATTGGAGACAAGACTATATATTTGTGGCTTTGTTTGTTCTTTTCCTCTGAACATGGCCATTAGGTGGACATGAATGAATATGCTTTCGGAACCATCTAGTAACATTCTGTAGAGTTTTCACTAAGCAGTCGTTAGTGTTGTACACATTTCTTTAGCCATGCGCTATATTACCTATTCATTTTTTCATTTAAAATCGTTTCAAAGAATATTCAGTATTTGACAATGTGCCTATGTATCCATTAACATGGGAAGCCACTCAGATATATTTTAAGATTAAAACAGAATCCCATCTCTTTCTAAATTTAACCAGATGAAGATTTTAAACAAATTTTATGATGACTTCTCTGGATAGAGTTTTCCTTTTTTTGCCTCTATAATTTTCTAATTTAAAAAAAATGTTCTAATTGTTTTACATTGAACAAGCAACTTACATTAACAGTGAGAATGACTCAAAATGTCTTACACTCGACTCTGTAACTTAATGTGTTTGCGAAAGAAAAATCCTTTCTCCTGGAGTAGCCAGGCTAAAAGCTATAGCAAGAAAAGGGGGGAAAGTAAAAAAATGCTAATGCTGGTTTTGCAGGAGAAAAATATTGTAATTATTTGTATTGGCTAAGATTTTCAATTACTTATGCTCTCGTCTGCTACCAATTCCACTGAAAATTGGCAGCCGAGTAAATAAAATTCTGGCAACGTGCAGTCTGTGCCAAGGTTTAGATTTTAGCGAGATTTCATCTTTCAGGGAGATGTTTGAAAAATATTAGCTGTTTAAGTGATGTGACAATAGTTTAGTAGCAGGCAATTTA